ATGAAGCCCAATCTCCATTTTCTCCTACATATTTTTGTTGAGCAATCGGCTCTCGTCTGTTGATTTCTTCCCAGTCAGAGCTTCTGGCTGCTTATTCATTCTGGTCAGCTGGCTATTCGATCTTTAGTATGGAGGCAGCGAACGTGGCAGCTGATAATGAAAGTTTGCAGTAACCTGTAGAAAGTGCTTTTCTTGACACGCAGTGTGAGTTTCTGACTTGTATGGAAGAACTGACTGACTGACTTCCCACTGGTGTTGGAAATCCAAATGTTGTTGTTTATGCTGGCTGATTGAAGCCGAAGATTTGTAAAGTGGTTTCAGGTTGATGAAGGTATATCTCGCCATTCCGATTGTGGCTGTCTCGCTGGTTTTGACATCTTCATCCGTTCTGTCCGCCTGTATATGAAACAGTGCTTCCTGGCTGGATAAGTGAAGGAAGTGCCCTGTGGTAAATCTTTCCCGTTGATGGTGATTGGTGCTGGTTGTATTTGTTGTTGCTTTTCGTTGGTTATCTTCATCAACTCCGTCTCCTCTATGTTTACTTTGAGTTACGTTATCGCTGCCTGTCATTTCAGCCAGTTTGTTGGCTTTCACCTGCAATTCTTCCAGTTTGTGTGACATTAAACATAAATCACTCATGCTCGAAATCCAGATCTTCTAGATTCTTCTTATCGATGGTGCAGAGAATTCCTGTCTTCTCAGTCTCTGTGCTTAGCCTGACGCACAATCCAGTCCAACACAAATTGGAATTTCATCGGTGATAATAGGCAGGCAGCCTTGTCTTATTCCTGTATGCAATTCGAATGCCTCTCCGAATATTTGGCTGTGTATCAGCTGACCCCTGACATTGTTATATAGGTGGCTGTTGAATGAGGTTGATAAACACTTGGACACTGTACGCCGTAGTGTTGAAGTAGTTTCCATATTACTTCTTTGTCATCTCTATCAAAGACCTTTTCGAGGAATGGAGTTGAGGTAGATGTTTGACTGCTATTCTATGCTTTGTTCTGTGACGACGTTGTATAGAGTTACAATTTGGTCAGCATATGATTTGCCTTTCCTGAATCCAACTTGTTCCAGGTGGCAGAGTTCTGTGTCCATTATATCTCTTTTTCTCTCCAGAATGATGCGACTTTGTATTTTACTTAGTGTGAAGAAGAGCAATAACCTAGGCCAGTCATTTCTCGTAGAGTCGTAAGTCACCATTCTTTGGTAGCTTGACCAGGTAGCCTATTTTCCAATCTGTAAGTACCTTTCATTTCCCACAAACATTTTGCAATAATGTTATAAGCACACCTGCCACAGTCTCTTTGTCTGTTGTCAGTGCTTCGGATGGAATTCCGTCCGGTTCTTCTGCCTTCCCAGATACTCTTTAATAGCTTGACTGCATTGAATATTTCCGCTTTCGTTAAGGGATTGGTGTCCACTGGAAGGCAATTCTGTGTGTGCTTTTGATGGTAATTCTGGGCGAGTTGGAGGTGATGGTCGATTCAAGAATCCTTTGATGTGATCACCCTAATGTTTCATTTTTCCCTCCACTTTTGTGATTAGGTTACTTTGAAAATCTTTTTTATTAGTTTCATCATCTGGGTTGATCTCTTCATGGATAGCTAGCATCCTAGTTATCTAGTAGGATGTCCTGAAGTCTCTTTTAACTGCGGCTTGCCTGTTATGCTTCAGTTTGCATCCAGTGTGTCGTAGGATTCTCTTATGTCTTTCCTAGCACTCTTCTTCACTTCTTCATTCAATGCGGTGTACATTGAAATCAGCTTCTCCTTCTGTCGCCCATCTTTGCATTGAGTCATCTTCTTTTTCACCATCTTCCTCTCCTCTTTTCCATTAGCTTCCAGGTAGTGTCCGTTGAGGGCCATTCCTTGTCGTGTCTCTTCTTTCTTCCTATAACAGTTGCACACGTTTCCGCAAATATCACCTTCAGAGAGTTAGTTGCAATGTTGTTCCTCACAGATTTCCTCAGTGATACCACTTATTGCCTTCGATTTTGCTCTGATCTGAAGTGAGAGTATCACTTGTAGTTTTGTCCTACAGTTTCTGTATGTTGAAATTGAATTGTTATTGTCTGTTTCCAGATGTTTTCAGGGATATCAGTCTCACCTTGAAGGTTCTTTGAACTAGATGATAGTCTGAGACCACATCATCTCCTTTTCTCGACTTTGTGTCCATCAGGCTGTGCCTTCACTTCCTTGAGCAACATTGAGATGAAGTCTGGGTTGTAGTGTATCCGTCAGGCGAAATCTAATTTGCTTTTTGTATATCCTTATGCTTATACACGCTGCCTCCGGTCACCAGATCATCGAATGCTCAGAATTTTGTGGATAATTCTCCGTTCTCATAAATTTCTTCGAGAGCGTCTGGACACATGATGTGTTTTCTTATTGTATTATCTGGTCCCATTCAACTGGCATCCATATCGCTCATGAGGATTTTGATGTTACCATTTGGAATGTTGTCCATTACTGTTTCTAGTTGTCTTAAGAAATCTTTCTTCTTCTCTTGTTCTGCGTTGTTTGTAGCACTGAGCGTAGCATTGGATAATTGTGACCTTCCTTCTTGATTTTTGAGTTGAATCATGCTGTCATGAAATGGTTCTCACTGCATGAGGGCTTTAGCTGCCACCGGTGATATCATGAAAGCCACTCAATGCCTCAGTGTGTTTGTGGTTGTCGTCTGGGTGACCAAACCGGAGTAGGTTACTGACTCTTTAGTTGACAATTTTGATAATCCACATCCATTCCATCTGCTCTCACAAATACACAGCATTTCTAGGCCATATTTTCGCACTTCTTTGGTTACCTGGATAGCCTTCCTAATTTCGTACATTGTACATATATTTTACGTCCCCATCCGTATTCTTGCTATCATCGAGAGAAGAATAATACAAAGAAACATCGACTGGCTGACCGGCTTCCTGAAGGCTCACCGTGTCATTTCGCCTCTCCGATTACAGCAAAGAATAAGATTGTGATTTGAATTTATGTATTTTTAATGTATTTTTAGTGCATTGAAGCTTCTGCAGCAGTTTGATAGGTTTAATTATGTAGGGTTGTTAGTGCCACGCTTAAGCCTCCTTCTTTACTGGGGCTTGGGACCGGCTAGAAAACAAGCAAGCAAGTTAACTAGAGATTCAAACTGAATATTTTTATGACCTTTTACATTCTGGTTGTTAGAAACTATTCTGTAGTTTGGTTTTTTATGTTCTCTACATTTGGGAAAAATAGTTTATTAAAAATGTTCACTTTATTTATTCATTTCTGTATCCTGTTGAACTTTCATCAAGAGAGTTAATTCTATTTTGTGATGTTACTTCATGTCTCTTCCACATAAATGTATTTAATTTACTACTGCTTACAGTTTAACCATATTTTGACTGGTACATATATGAGAATTTACAGTTAGTAAAATGAATTCATCAAAAGACAATTATTTTCAAGATAAATTTCATCAGGGAGCAGCATCATTAAAGGAAAAATGAAAAATCAATCGACACTGTACTGATTGTTTTACTATACCTGAAATCTTTCACAGTAGGCATCTACGACATCAAACCCAGGGACTCCACGCTACATGAAGAGTGCCTCATCTTGTTTCTATTGGAAGTTAGGCCACGTATGCCATTAAATTACAACCTAGAGGACCAGTATCAATTGGGTTAACCATGTAGGATTGGTAGTCCTCTGCTGGATCCTTGACTGTATTTCTGGAGTCCATGTCTGTGGAGTCCTATAGTATGACTAAACAACCATTCAGTGAACTCAGGCTGTAAAATTTTTATAACTGACGCTGGTGCATCACAAAAGCAATTTTACGGAATAATTATTTTTGTTGCAGTTACCGTGTTGTTTATTCTGTGGCTTATTAGGGAAACTTTCTTATTTAAAGCATCTCAAAAATTGAGTTTTTTCTTGTTTCCATCTCATTCTTTGATGTCTATTGAGTTGATTGATATCACGCCTAAGACTTCTATTATTGTGTCTCCTCTTTGTCATTTAAAATGACGAATCTAGTTCGTACAAACACCGAATACAAAGAATTTACAGACACACTGTTTTCCTTCCTAAAAGTGAGTTTTAATGACTTGAGTGATTCTTAGAAATCCTCATTATGGAAAATTTATGTTACTCCAACTTCAAATGCACTAAACCTGTTTAGTAGGCAAAATTCATCATACTTTTTCTGTTACTTTGATGACTTATTCGGATTCAGCTTTCCGGTATCCCTAAATAACAATATATGGTAGAGATCTAAGCAGCTTTACCAGCCTCAAACATGGTGAGGAATTTCCATGTCCCTGTGCTCATTTATGCTTTAATTGAAAGAAGGCAAATAGGCTTTCACCAACCGGCGTCATCCATCCTTCAGATGATGAGTTCTTCCTATTCAAGTGGAGAGAAAGTTTACTTTTCCTGTACTTTGAGGTTTCAGCAGCAATGAGGTTGTTCTTACGCCTAATCATCCATCTTTTCCGGGCTTAGGACTAGCTAGCAAACTAGGTGAATGACGTCATAAATCAGGCCCTTGGTTAGGACTCAAATGAAGATTGACGATTTGGCCGCCCAAGACTGACATGCAACAGATCGTATGAGGTGAAAATGAAAGCTTAAGCCATCTAGAAATAACGACAGAGAACAAAGTACAGTGAACATGTACTGCTGGTGTCCCATGTTATACTCGAATCTCAGGGAATAAATAACATCAGTACCTGTCGTAGTGATTACCAATATGTTTATTTAAAACAATCAATGTAATGTTCACTTTTTTTGATAAAACTTAACGACTATGTAACAATGGAGCACTATTTTGGTTGTGAAACACCAATTAACTAACGATGTAACCGTACACTAGCAAACACAATCTATATTTTTAACTATGAACACGCATACAAAATATGAATTTGTAAGTATATGTGTGTAACAACTTAATTTCACATACAGAATGAAATGTTTTTTGTCAAAAATATGATGCACACACTAACATACATCAAGTAAACTTTATCCAGAACTATGCACACTAAAATCACATGACTTTCACGTGACACTGTACTCTAAAGCTTACTCTGAACACACACACACACACACTTAGGAATACACTAACATCAGTTGTCGTATAAAAGCATTTCTTCTTTAAGCCAAAATTGATTTTTACAACAGATTGTTTAAAGCAAATCAAAGCAACGAATGATTGCATTGAAGACCTCACAAGTGTTAAACATTAGATTCTTTTTGTACTTTTTTCTCCTTTATGATATATAGTGATGTTAATCTAATGTTCCTTTATTAAATGGTTAAAAAAACATTTAGCATAATTTTATATCCAGTCAGGAAATCAAACTGAATGAGTCATTGAATAGCTGTTCTATTCTATTCTGATATTCAAGGTTCATTTAGTATTTAAAAATATTCGACAAGATTATATTTAAATTGGGATCAGTAATTTGAAACTATATTTTTTTTAATTTGAACCATATAAACAAAAATATCACTGGTAGTCTACTCTGTAATACATCCAAAATTTACTGTAATTATAAAAGGAATCCATTTTAACTACTATATTGTTGTTTTAATCTCAATACTATTGACAATTTAATTCTTATCAGGCTTTTTCTCTTCTTTTTCCTTTTCACACTGGATAGTAAAAATATTTCAACGTTCATAGTGAATAAATTCTATTATGGAAAAATTAATTGAGATATTTTTCCAATTGGACAAGGATAACAATGAAATTGTTGATAAACAAGAACTTGTCAATTACTGTAAAGAAAACAAACTTGATATGAAAATGGTTAATGTAAGTAAACAATATTTTTTCCTTTTCCTATACAAATATGCCTATGCATATTAATATTTATACTTCTTAAGGTTGTAATACTGATGACCTGGTTAGTTAGTAGCTGGATATGAAATTTCGTTTACCGCAGCAAGTGAGGCTTTTAGCCCCCCCCCCCCCCCCCGAATCCAGTCATCACACACTATATCGGTAGTATTCTATCAATATCGATCGTCTTATCAATTGTACAATTTGATTCCGGATGTAAGGATTCTGAAACGGTGTAATTTGTATCACAGATATCTCATCTCTGATGCTTCCGCTTATACTGAATGTCTTCTCAAGTTTAGGTCGGAATAGAAGTGTGAATCTTACCATTATCTGAAGTAATTTCTGACCAATCATAAGTACCACTGTCTGTGTATAGGATGCTTTTCCGAGCATCCTTAAGTGTTAGTTATCATGTTTTCTTTTTTGCTTTGCTATAATGTTCCCTTGATGAAACCTTTGTTAGATCTGCTTATAATCGCTTTTTAATGATTAACTAGTGAGCAGTAGTTCGTCTTGTACCTACTTTCCCAGCTAGGTTAGTATATGAAGTAGGGGATTGATTGAGTGCCCCGGTGTCTCTTATAAATTTAGCTACAAAAGTCTCTTTTGCATTTTCCAATAGCTATCATATTGTACTGAGTCACAATAAAGAAACTTATTAAAGGTCGTTGCAGTGGTATAACCCTTATTATCAATATAGATCACAGTTCCGATCACCTAACACTTCAATGAATTCCTTTAATTGTAGTACCTTAGTTACATATTGTACGAAAATGTATCAATCCAAATTAATATAATTTGACCATCACAATAAATTGTAGACACAATGCAGGGTACTTTATTTGGTAAAGCATACAGTGATTGTGTGGTTTACCAAATAAGTGAATTTTCCAATGGAATTATGCAGTAATACCGAGTATCACATAAAAATGATCACTGAGGAGTATTCAATAAACAAAATGAGCAACTATAAAACTTTTATTGAATCAGGAAAAAAATGGTTGATCAAGTTGACGCTATGGAAAAGAGACGCTGAAACGAATGTTAACTAGTTACGGTTTTTATCCTTGAGTAAAACAAAGGTTTTCATTCTATTGCAGTCAGAGTCACTGTTAGTGACTTTACTTATGCTTAAGCGATTACTGTACAGATGTTATGTTTGATAACAAGCTTTCATAGAGTTAGAACAAATTCTGAATAGTAAAATAATATTTTAAATGCAATTATAGACTTTTAAAACCCAGGGAAACGGTCTTTACTGTTGTCATCGTCGCGTATTTAATCTTGTTCTTTTTGTTGAGACTATCATTGGTAGATTCCCGAAACGTAGCTTGCAGCTAGACAGTATGAAAACTGTTAATGCAGATCAACTTATTCAATAGACTCTTTCAATAACTTCCCAAATTTAACAAAATCTAGGACTAAATATTATCCTATTTACTACTTTTATTTCGTTTTATATACTGAATACCTTTTATTGGATAACAAACTGATCACAGATTTGTTAAAATGCCTCTAACTATAAAAGTAAGTAAGGATGTGAAGTACTGATTTGTGCTTATTTATAAGCCTTTTACTAATAAACGTAACCAGCTTGTCTAGAGTAGGTTGTCGAGTCAATTCTCAAATATAATACTGAATGAGACAGCCTTTATCAGAATACGTTTCAGAAAAAAACTATTGACTGCACTTTGAAATCATTTATCATCCGGTTTCATTGATGGATGTCCTGAATGACTTTATCTAACATTATCTCCTTTCATGATTTACTCAACTCAAATATAAGAAAACAGGTAAACATAACCATCAGACATATTACATTTTGGTTATATTATCTACTCCAATCATAACGAATAAGAAAGTAACATGAACCGATTTTAAGACGTTATATTCATTTGTAAGTTTATTCTAATTGCTAATGAATGCAAATAAGAAAATTTCATACATTTATTCGCCTTGATGAATTTGAATGAATCAAGAACAACAGTTTTTGCAGAATGATATGGTACCATCATTTATTTCGCTGGATTCTTATCAGCTGCGTACAGCCTAAATAAATTGTTAAGTTTATGTACAGAAAAACTGTAGCGTACTCGCAAATTTTACATGATGTCATTTGACAGGAGGTTCTGTACTTCATGAACGGGGCTCGGAAAACTGCGCTTACATAGTTTTAGCACAGGGAGTTCAAGTTTAAACAAAGTAAATGTTTTTTTGATAACAGCTTGATTCCACACAGTATTTTGGTGCAGTTATGGAATTTTCAGCATGTGGCATCGGTAGCCCAAATTTTGCAGGCCGACCATAGATATCAGGTGTGCGTCTGCAGAGGATCGAACGCCGGACCATGTGCATGGTCGGCGAGATTCCTAACAGCTGTGCCACCGATGTATGTATATAATGGTAAAGGAGTTGCGTAATAAAGATGAGAGGTGCCTGAGATTATAAGTGACTAATAAATTAGGTAACAATGTACTGAATCCATCTCAAATTATACAAACGAGAGACAAGCAAAATTACATTATATCAAATGGGAGAGATGCACCAGTGCTCTAGTCAAGACTCTGTACAAGCACATTTTGCTGGTCTTTCGATTATATAATTTGAGATGCAGTCACTACATTGTTACCTAATTTATTAGTCACTCATCATCTCAGGCACCTCTCATCTTTATTACGTAACTCCTTTACCATTGTATGCATACATTTACTTTGTTTAAACTTAAACTCCCTGTGCGAAAACTATGTAAGCGTAATTTTCTGAGCACCGATCACTAAGTACAGAACCTCCTGTCAAATGACATCATGTAAAATTTTCAAGTACGTTAAAGTTTTTCTGTACACAAACTTAATAATTTATTTAGGCTGTGCGCAGCTGATAAGAAGCCAACGAAATAGATGATGGTACCATATTATTCTGCTTTATTCAAATAGGGAGATATTTGAAAACCCTTTGGTGGAAAGTGGAAAGAGCTGCACACACACATTTTTTCCTAGTCAGGAGTCTATATCAGTACCTCTATCCAAAGTTGATATCCAGAATAGTGTTGTTGAGAGGTGGTCATTGTCCCCCACACCCTCCAGTCACTGATTTGGAACGTTATAGTAATTGAGTATCAAACCACATAACTCACAATTATCTGCATTCCCTTGAACTGTCTAGTGGTTAAAACTAATAGGTGCATAAATAGAAAGGGAATCATAGAGAATTTCAACTATCTTGTTGTGAACTGACTGCTGATGCATATTTATATGAAGTAACTTTTAAGTGAATATATAGTTGTTTCCATATTGCGTTTAGAATTTACTATTACAAAGGCGACGTCAATTGATCAGTTATTATCTTCACGCTAACCTTAAGGAATGTTTTAATTCTTCAAAGTTAACAATTTAAGTTTATCAAGTCAATAATCTTATTTTTTTCTTTGTCAAGTTCACAAGCAATTTTATATCAATAGTATAATGGAGTATTGTATCAATATCAATAAAAGTACATTCTTATTTTTGTTCAGCAATAGGTACACCGTTATTTATTCTATTATAAATTACAAATTCTAACTCTGCTATATTATTAGAACTTTATTTTCATTATGAGTAAACTAAAAAAAATTCTTATGCAAATGATACAACTGACACAAATTTCTTATTTGAAGAAAAAAATAAGAGATGATTACCTAAAATTAAATCCGATTATAAACTCTAGCCATAATAGAGAAGATCTGTAGCTCAGGTGGATGATTTGCAATTAAAAGTGTTCTCTGAGCTGGTTGGTTTAGTTGCGAAGCTTTCGTCGTCCTTCTGGACGCTGAAGATGTTGTCCAGAAGGACGACGAAAGCTTCGCAACTAAACCAACCAGCTCAGAGAACACTTTTAATTGCAAAACTCTAGCCATTTTAAAAAATTTATATAATAGGTCTGAAGGTGATTGAATACGAATATGGTGCAAGAAAAATAGTTGAAAGAAATGTTTTGATAAGATTCAGAATGATATTTCATGTGTGTTGGTTTCTAGGGTATTTTCTGATTTCAGCATCGATTTCATCATGAAATTACACCATTTGGGGAGCCACTTAAAACCTTTGAACCAATCAAATTCCTACAAAAAAACACCTAATAATCAGTGATCGCCCATCAACTTCTAATGAGAAGTAGTGACCGATGAGGTTCACCAAGAGGAGTGTAAGAAGAGGTATTCACTGATGAATCTCTATGGTGATTTATACCACGAATCTGATTGTTTCCCAGTGACTGAATGAGAAGGTAGTCAGTTCATTTTTTTATTCCTTCACGTTTCCAGTGGAACATAGGGCTTCAAGCTCAAAACTTGAAGTTTTTGTAGCAGTGTTTATTTTTTTTAGGAAGGGGTTGCTAGCCTCATGACCAACCTTTCCTCTTTACCAGCTTTTCAAATTCTGGCTTACCGAGGTAGAGGAGTGCGTCGGCCGGGGATCAAACCCTGGAACGTCTGCATGGACGGCGAGCGTCCTAACCGCTTTGACACCGACGCACACTGTCAGTTCGTAGGCAGAAGATTTCATGATTCGAACACTGCTGACGCATTCCGAACTGGGACGAAACAGCTGTTTAGCTGTCAATGATTCTTCAACAGATGGTATCGGTTAGTGACGAAATCTAACCAGAAATCAGTGTGATATTATTTTGCTAAGTGCAATCAAAAATATCCAATACAGTCCTACAGTAGGTCAGTCGCGAGCCTGAATAGCTCAGTGGTAACGTCTCTGACTGCAGCACTGGGTGACGCGAGTTCGAATCTCAGAAGGGACATGAGTTCCTTCAAGGTTGCAGATACGCCTTGCTGATGAGTGCCAACTAGCACTAAACCTAGGTCCAAGGCTTCCTGCCGATTGCCTCCAACCATCTAATACCAACAGTTCACAGTGCACCGTAATGGCGAGCCACCTAGCATGGTGGTCACATTGCAAGCTTGACTGATAGAATTCAGTCTGCACCGAAGATAGGACTAGACGCATTACACTAGTTACTGACTAGTGTGCAGTCAAAAATATTTTGCTAAGTATTTTTTATTATAACTGGTGATTTGTTCAGTCGTATGTGCTTGGAAGATTAACAGCAACTTTAGATGCCCTAAACTTTGCAGCAGTTTTCCCTTGTTCAAGTTTGACATAGTTCTAAAGCAGGTCACTAAAACAGAATCTGTACTTTTGAATAGAACTTGCCTAGCAAGATTAAAAATTTTAGGTATGAAAGATAATCTTCCGTTTTCTTCATTAGTTTCAAACAAATGTAAGATAAACTTGTTTGATGGATTTTATGTATTTATTCAATATTACACTAATTATCTTCCTCCGTAGAAATTATGGTAACTTCAGGTTCTAAATGCGCTTGGACTACTGTCCGCCACAGTGAATATCAAACCTACATAAGTGTACACGTGTATATGTTTATATATTTTATTCTTTTACTTTCCCAGTGGAACATAGGGCTGCAAGCTAGAGCGTTGAGGTTTCGGTAACAGTGGTGATTATTTTTACGGGATGGAATTGCTAGCCTCATGCCCTGCTTTCCCTCTTTATCAGCCTTATTACTGGCTTAGCGAGGTCAAGGGGTGCGTCAGTTGGGGATTGAACCCCAGACCACCTGAGTGGATGGGTCAGCATTCTACCACTGCATCACCGACGCACTATATATATAATATTTTTATGCATATTATGAAAGTCACTATAAGTTTAATGTCTTTAATAAGGTGGTACCAAAAGTTTTGTGATCATAAATCGTTTGGTCATGGAAGAGTGACTAGTGTTACATTACCTAGTTCATAGTGTTGGTAACTGAATTTTATCAATCAATTCACAATATTTTCACTAGTCTAGAAGACACACCATTTCTGTTAGATGATTGTAGGTAATCAGTAGGAAGCCATGGACGTCGGGTTTTGTTCTGTTGATCATTATGCTAAAATAATCCATTTAATTTCACATGTTATCGTTTTAATCTATGTTATTCTCCCCTAACAAGATGTAGAAAATCCTGTAATCATTCACACCTTCATAACTATCTTCACACAGATAACATACCTACCTGTTACTTCCTCTCATTTATTATTTGTTTCTGATCGAAAAAAGCAAATAATGTCATGACTAAAACAGATTTGATAAAAAACAATTACTTTCTTTTCGTAACACATTTAATCAGAAAGCCTAAAAATAAATTCAATCTAGCTGTACATCAAAATTAACAGGATTTTAAGTAGTTTAAGCTAGCAAGATTGACTGGTGGTAAAGTGTATAAGTCCCATGGTTATACTTAAATATTTCTATCATGTGATCTGTAATTATTTCTCTTGTAACTTCGTATGAAAAATGTGTATTCCTTTCACTGCAAACAGCGTTACATTATGACTGTAGGCATTATAGCTAGTGCTAGTAGCAATAACTCTTTAGTATGTCGTTTCACTTTCATACGTACATGAAGAACACTTAAAAAATGCTTTTCGTTTTAAATAAAATCAAAATGACTACGGATTTAGTTAATTACCCCTCTCTTACCTCCAGTTATATTACCCCTTTAAAAACTGTAACTCTCTTCCGCTGCATGTGTTAAATTATTACAGATTTGCTATTTTCAAATATGCATGTTACTCTGTAAATGTTTAAGGTGATAATCATAAAAAAATGTAGTTAACAGCATGAGAGAAGCAATAGGGATCAAATTTAAAAGTACAACTTTTTTTTGATTTCAACAAAGTACTTCAGCAATGTGTGTTCAGAATAAATAAACAAGTATCTCCCAGTTACTTTGTTTCCCGGAGTCATTTGTGCCATTTATAAATATTTATATATTCTCAAAATAAGCTCTTTATCTTCTATATTTTCTATTGCAATCAGCCTGAATTTATGTAAATAATGGGTGACTGAAAGCCATAAAAGCAATTTTTACATAATCCCATTATTTATCAGAATAACCGAGCTATTTCACTCGTAAAATAGGGATATAATCTAGGTGTGGTTATAAGCCTAATATATCTTTTGTGTTTTTAGTGCACTATCACTGGTGCTTTCACACAAAAAGAAAACATTTTATTTATGATATGCATTATTTTGATAAGTGAATTTGAACAAAGCAATCACAATACATGAATTCATAGTATCCTGCTCCATTTGTGTTGACTGCTTTGTTCATATTAATCAAAGGGGATTTATAAATGAAACTGTGATACTGATCAAAATACTCATGTGGTGCAGTGTATGCATTCATTTAAAAGTTGTAAACAATTTTATTGTTTTATTCAATGTCTGATGACAAAGTTTTACCAGCTTACTTCAGTACTAAGTCATCTGCTATGTATTCTTGTGAATTCACTACCACTGTTACTGTAGATATTGTTTAAGACGTGAGACCCATCTAATGACAAATTAGTATACAGTAGTTATAATCAATAATCTCCGCATTTAGAGGAATATTACATCGAATCTCCTCTTACATAACATAGTAATTGGTGAAAACAGAAACAGAAAGATTAGTATTACTGGTGTCAATGAACTAAACATGTAAAATAGAAGTTATGAGAAATAAAAGAGATGCTAACAACTATATGTTAATAAAAAAAAATATTAAGAAAGACCATTTATTTACTGTTTTTCATGAAGTCAGCAGTTTCATAATCAATACTTTCCTCATCACATAAACTGCATGCTCAAAAAGGCATCGTCGAGCCTTCATATTTAGTCTTGCAATCATAAGGTGTCTTATGATTCATTTTAGCTCTACCTAATGAGATGCAGTGAGAAAGTTGTGTTAAAGAGAGTTCAAAGAGCCGAAGAAGATGATTTTTGCCAATTTCTTTTAGGAGTCCAGGCGGATGTCCATAAAAATATTAATTAATCGGCTTAGCGACACAATATTCGTCCTAAAAACATCTCTTGTATCCTTTGCGTTGTAGAAGAAAGTCTTTTTATATCTGCGGTGCAACGAAGAAAGACAGCTAGAATACATGGGTTAATTCAACTTGAGAAAATAAGGGCTGCGTGATATCAGATTGTTTGTACTTCCTTTGTAGGGGACTGTCTACAGAACTCAATCACACGATAAATATGCGAATAAAAATGCAAGTCAATGAGATGATAGTGCAACAATATATTATCAAAATGCAGTAACGAGTTATATTAATTAAAAGGTTACTTGGATATCTGGTTAAAGTCCACTGCTACAAATTATTAATATAATCCACAGAAGTGTTCACTGTTGGAATTGTGTCTACTGGTAGGAGCTGTGCGCCGGTTGTAGAGTTGTCTTCGGATAAGGATAATAGATTTCTGCAATAAATCCAAAGTATACAACACGGTATGAGTTGAGCAAGTAGACAGAGACGGTCAGTGAGAAGTCGAAACCACCAACAGTATATATTGTATTTCGAACTGTGTTCAGAAATTACATATATTTAAACATGAGTCGTTGTAAACAAAATCATGTAGAATGTCTTTAATTTCAACAACTAACAAAAAGTGTACAATCATATTGTTGAGTACTCCACACCTTCCTTCCTCTCTAGAGGTTGACGTGATATGGGAAGATCAAGACAGGCCAGCAGAAAGGCGTAGTCCAAGGTTTATAACATTCGACTTAGTTTCGACCTCAGTGCTTTCTAAGATACAAGAATCACGAAAACGAACCAGTTTATTTAAATCACTTTTTTGTCCGACATTAAAATTAGCAATCTGACGTCTGGAAGGATTTAGCTTAAGACTAGTCGATGAAGACCACCAACTAATTTCCCACAAAAGCTGTTCATTTGGAACTCTCATCGAGAAGTCAGATCATCAGCATACATATCAAAATGTAGACTTTGTATATTATTTTACTGATGCGGAGACTTAATTCTCCGAAATAAAATAATGTATGCATAAATGATTAATAGTCAGCTTGCTCTATCTAAGTGAAGAGCAAGATGCCTAGAAACCGAGGCATAAAGACTGGTTTAGTAAATATCCCTTAAAGCACTGTCAAAACCCAGAAGCAGTCAAAAACTGCTTCCTCCCAGTCTGAAACTCTTTAAAAGTGTTCACCTCCCCTCAAGAGGTCATTGTTATATTTGCATAAAAGGTACTCAGAGTGATGTAGGTTTGTGAAATAAAGTACCTTAAACACTCCAGCTTACAAATATGACACAGTAATTTGAAATTTTGTGAGCTTTTCATTGTTTATAACTGAAAATATCAACCCAAGAGTCTTACCTTGACTTGGATTCACATGAGATTCAGACTGACAATCAATTACTGTGTAGTTATTTCTACTCTGAACTTGTTTATTCTGATTTCAATTAAATTAAAAAAAACAACCTTGTTTAACACATGATTTTCTTTTAAAATTTATCCAGGAATGGTTGTCAAAGTGTGATACAGACAAAAATAATAGAATTACATTCGATGAATTTTGTCGAGGATTTGGTATTAAGTTAGCCGAGATGTAAGTGTTTTTTTTTTCCAATAAAATTCAGATAAAGTGAACTGTGATTTATAATTCATAAATTCCAGATGTAAGTAGGCAGAAACATAAAAGTGTGACAGTGTTTTAAAAAAAATAGTGATGTGCTGAAGTGTAGTCTTGTCATAAAACTCACCCCCTTTACGTTTCTTTAAACGATCGATATGTTGAAGGCGAATGTAAATGATTAAGTATCCCTAAGGATGTAGGTATCTTCCCTACTGTTTGAAGCAAACCCGTTTAAATAAAGTCGTCATACAATCTCAGTTTAAAAAGATTAAATTAAAGTACACGAAAGCGTTCCCGAGTTCATCATGAAAAAGTGAAACGATTCACTGCACATTATATCAGATTACTGAGTAACCAATAATACAATTCGTGGTAGTTGTAATATTTTCCTGTTCAAAATTAAACTACTTTTGAGTGGAATTCACAAAAATGAGGAACAACGGAATTATACGTAAATTATACTCTGGAAGTAATTAGTGTCTTTTATGTACTAATCACACCCATAGTATAACTACGAAACTGTTTTCTATATGAACTAACTGATGAATCAGACAAACTCTGAGAACATGGGGAATTTCATCATGAGCTGACATCTGTTAGATAACCACTGGAAAACCTGGGAGTACTGGACATCTGTTTCATCCTAGTTTGTGACTCTTCATCAGTACGCACCCACAGGGATTGGAACCCAGGACCTTCTGGTTACAAGGCGAGCTCATAGACCATTAAGCCACTGGGACCCGATCCAATGGTCCTGAGAAGACCATCGAATGACATCGCCAGCAGAGCCCACACATGGAATGCGAATAGGAGACAATGAGTTGGGTGTCTGAGAGTGACGTAGACAGAATCGTGTGAAAAGGTGATAAAAACTTACAGGTCATCTCAAGGCCAACTAGAGAGGAATGCTAAGAACAGAACAAAATGTAGCTGTGCTTGATCGCCCAATGTTCCACTCGGAACCCACAGGAATGATAATAATAATCTTTAATTTGACTACTGCTATCTTGATGATTCCTGCAATTTCGTTTTGTTAAGTTTATTATTATTAATTATTTCTTCTTAATTTCCATTACAAGGCGAGTCGAAAAAATTGAAAGAGCTTTAATTTATGATGAGACTGTGAAACCGAAACCAATTAATGTAGATATTATCAATTCATCAATGTCAGAGAAGAAACAAGCAGAAGTTATTGAAACTTATCAAAAACTTATAAAACAATACGGATCAGATGAAAAGAATTTAGACAAAGTTACAAGTGGATTGAAACAGTTTTTGGAAGAACATTATACAAATGTTTGGCATGTTCTCATATTGAATGGTTCATTTTGGATGAGTTTTTCACATGAACCATTTTGTTCACTACAATTTAAATCAGATAAATATACTTGTAGTCTTTGGCGTACACCAGATGGTCAAAGATTTGGTTCATAAATACGATAGCTCAAATTACTCTCAGTATACTATCCTATTAAAAATATTATCCTAATGTGACCAGTCTTTCGAGATGTTTCGTGATATTTTTTGATCTTTAATTAACTATTAGACAAAATGTACATTCCCTATCCAAGGATACATACGAAATGCAGTGTCATGTAAAAATAACCATAAATATATTTAGTGAAAGTTCAGATGTTTTCACCTAGAGTCTAAATAATTTATCTTATAAAAATTTTAAGCAAATGTTTACTTAAAAGGCTTATTCATTTCAACTAATGATAATAAATTTTCCAGACTTTGTTTATGAGCCATCATCATTTTAGTTATGATTAAAAGTGATCCCTACCTGACAGAAGAACGAGTTTACGCGTAACACAGGAATTCCTTTTTGTAAAATCCTAATGTTGATATGTTTGTTGTATAACTGAAGAATTTTAAATTCACTACAAACAGGGTTAATACTGATACATTTTCGCATTGTTTTATGTTTAAAACATCCATCGAACATTCTCCTGTTTATAAACCATTGTTGGCTGAGACTAACTCCTAAAATAATTAGCTTTTCATCGATGTTACGTAGAGATGCTGAGCAGTTTCAAGTGTAAAACGTTAGCTGGTAAACAAACTTACTTTATTCCCTCTCGTATGAGTTGTTATTGAGCTATTTTGGTCACCAAAAACATGGTAATTTACAACATTCTTTTGTGTAGATGTTTTACATATTCCGTGTGCATTGTCTCAAATCCAGTGATTTATTATGAACACCTTCCCTCACACTGTCTCATACTGCTAGTGTTTTATGAAATTTGCGTAGTAGTAGGAACTACTAACTGATATGAGTAGGTGTAAACCACTCAAATCAAACTAATCTTAACATAGGAAGGTCGTTTCATCTACAACTGTCGATTGGAAACAACTAATTTTATTCACTACAGACAGTCCACTTGGGTAGCTAGCTAGAAATCAGATTCATTGAACTGATTCAGCTATTCGACTTGATTCAAACTGAGTACATGTCTTATGTACTCTGTCTCAGGAAGTCTAACAATTCCTTTTCTTTTGACATTTAAATTAGTCGCTTTTTCTAAAAAAAAAATACATATCCGCTTCAGTTGGAATAGTAGAGAAAACATTCTGTAAGATTACAAAGAGTACGTTGGTAGCACAGCGGTAGATTGCTTGCCGACCTCGCAGGTAATCTGGGGTTCGATCCTCGGCCCACTCACTTTTTGACCTCACTAAGCAAGTAGTAAGACTGGTAAAGAGGGAAGGTTGGGCATGAGGCTAGCAACCCCTTCCCCTAAAAGAAAATACGATGGCTACTGACACTTCAAGCCTCTAGCTTGAAGTCCGATGTTCCACTAGGAACACAAAGGACTTTTAAAAAGAAGATTACAAAGTAAGAATAGTAAACTTTAAAATTTCTCACAAAACTAAAATACAAAATAACGGAACGGTATTTTAATCTAAGTTTTGAAATCATGTGCTGTAGGACAATTCTTCGATGCGTTAGCCTCTTAAATGTTCACGTGAATCAATATTATCGTGATACAAACTATATGATAAATATAAACTTAAAAATTTAGAATATTACATTTGTGGGAATTTAAATAGTCAGTTTAATGTATTACATAGAATGAGAGATTATCCACATGAATAACGACCTAATCATTGTTGAGTATCATTTTTTGTTTTCTATACAACTTATACCGCTCAAAATAAAAAAAAATATTGAAGTTTTTCTTCATTTCTATGAGAATATTTTTGAAAATGATTGTAGTAGTTGTTGTGAGTGTAATATACTAATAGTATTACCGCTAGTAGTATGAATGATGTTGAAAGTAGTAGTAACGGTAGTTCATTAGCATATTGGTTAATGTCTATTGTTTTTTCACAATGTATGCATACAGAAATGCTGACCAGATCACAAGTATACTTTAGTCTATTACTATTGTTATTGAGATAATGTATAAAATTCTCCTGACTCATATTTATCGGAATTTATGAGAGTTTATATGCTTTCTCTTATACGTTGTGTAATTTTTCAATTATATTGATTCTCATTACTATTACTCCATGTGTCATACTCGTGCAATATGTGACAAATTATTAGGTTGATCATCGTGGTAACTGATCTACCTCTTAAGCATGTTAATCACAAGAAAATTTGAAACCTTCCTAATGTACACGGTATGAAAGTTTATGAGTCCACACTCTTATTGCATTTAGAGGATAATATGCTTCTTTTTAGCTGGAGCGAGTAAAAAGGCCCAGCTTGACTTAAGAGAAAAAGAAAATACAGCTACAACATATTCAATATTGTGAGTAAATTTTAAAAAATTATAATATAGGTATAGGATATCACACAGACTAAGGTTCATTTCTGTGTTGAATCACCTCTGTTGCATGTGTTCAGTGTAGATTCAGTGAACAAAGATTCCTTACTGAACCCTTCTTCCCTCTGCCTATATTACCTTTAAGTTACTGTCGATCTCTCCTACACCACTGTGTGATTGTGTGTTAATACATGCATCGTGAATGCTGAGTTTTTCTCTAAGCTGTTCGTCACCCTAGACTCGGTCATTCTACATGTAGCTAAATTTCTATGTCCGAGTAACGTGCCCGATCCTGATCTATTGGTCTGACCTACGTAGTTGACCTCAAAGTCATTACAGGGCATTTTCAATACTATTGTTATTATTATTCCCTTGGGTTCCGAGTGGAACATAGGGCTTCAACAACACAACTCCACTTTATTCTATTTTTCGCCGTCCTCTTAAGCTGGCTAGCCACAAAACTGCCCATTATCTTTCATCTCCTCCTCCCGAAACGATCTCCTCCATGTCACCCTAGCACCGACGACCCACTCATCCCTTCCTAGTGGGATTACACTCGAGCACTGGCCATCATTGAGCGCGATGTCATTTGACAGCCTTCTTAACATATGACCGATTCATCTCCATTTTCTCCTACATATATGTTGAGCGATCGACTCTCGCCTGTTGATTTCTTCCCAGCCAGAGTTAATTGTTGCTAATTCTTTCTGGCTGGCTGACCATTTCATCTTCAGTAGGGAGCTAACGAAGGCAGCTGTTGATGAAAGTCTGCAAATCATTTTCTTAACACGCAGTACGAGTTTCTGACGCATATAGAAGAACTGACTGACTGACTTCCCACTGGTGTTGGAAATTCGAATCTTGTTCCTTATGGTTAGGTGGAGTGCAGAAGATTTCTAACCTGATTTAGGTTGATGAAGGCGTATGTTGCCTTTTGGATTGTGGCTATCTGGCTGGTTTTGACATCTTAGTCCATTCTGGCTGTCTGTAGTTGAAACAGTGTTTCCTGGCTGGATAAGTGAAGGAAGTAATCTCTGTTAAATCTCTCCCTTTGATGGTGATTGGTGCTGGTTGCTGTTGCTGTTGGCTGGTTATCTTCATCACCTCCATCTTCTCTCTAATTAGGTGTGATTAACAGCAATAACGTCATCAGTAAATAACATTATATCATCGTAAGTTTCTTCAAATTATTCCCTAATGAAAATCTACTCAACTAAATAAAGTCTTATTCTTAAGAATGATTCATAATTATAAAACGTAGCTTCTCTAGAAAAAAACAACTTATTCATAATAGTTGGGGTATACATTCCCTACCACAAGCACACATGGAGTAAGAAAGAATTTAAAAATAAAAGTACCTACTACTTTATCAAGGAAGCGCTAACTTCAAACAACACTCATTTTTCTTCTTTGAAAAGAGTCATTTCAGAAAACGTTCTTATTCAATACAATGTAATTAAGAAATAATGGGAAAACCTTCTCGCTTGAATAAGAATAAAGATTAACCAAAATGAAAGAAAACCTTAACAATTTATTCTCCCGAAATGAGCAGAGACAACTCTTATAATCATAATCCCTGAAAATTGATACCAACAATCTTCATTAGGAGGAATAAATTTAAGTAACATCGAAATCACTTGAAAATACACGTGAAAATGCTACTTATTACTTTTAAGATGATAATACCACTTTCGGGTACTTTCGACGAATGGCAAAACTTTCTGTTATCCAGTTCAAACTACTCAATGCTGCATTATAAGTAGTCAACTAGTATACCAAGATTGTTCCTGTGTGTTTATCAGTAACTCTGTATATTACCCAACAAAGACCATGCATATTCATAGACAGGTCAAATATTAGTTTTAGTTAAATTACTTAATTACTCAAAAGTCAAACAGTGAACTCTGTTTTCATTTTTTTAACGTCTGATTGCACTAACGAAATCTGTCTATAAAGATGCCGGCTAAGTGGTCTTCATGATAGGAAGCAAGACGACAACCGATCTGACAACATGTGAAGAGAGATGTTTATAGAAACCTAGACACAATCACATTAATTAGTTCCATTCACCTCTAAGTGTGACTGAGAAGGACAACAATCTGATGAACTCTATCGTATTACCTATTTTTCTACGCCGGAAAAGAAAGAACTGGAGGTTGGAAGTTATATAAAAGCATCATGGAAATCATTCTGTTTACTGCAATCAAGTGAACTAGAAAATAACATAAGATACATATTACTACTTTTCATACTTATAAGTAGGCAGTTCATTTACAACAAAACTATAGTTAAAACATTTTATCTCTCATTACATTTATGTAGTGAAAAGTTTTGAAAAACAAACATAAAAGAGGTAGGTATTAGTACTTCATCTAGTTTCTCGTTGTACTTACTGCATGCGAACATTACTACGAATCCTCTCTAGTTTAACTACCGTTCAAAGTGTGATCAAAATGGAAGCCTAAACATTGGCTTAATCAATAATATTATTAATAATGGTCTCACGGTTAGACATAATACAAAATTTTCAGCGTATCCTACTGCAGAGTATTTGATATACCCTTTTTTTAAAAACTAATAAAAATGTGTTTCAGTATATTTCATGACCTAAAATCATCACTGCAATATTAAGACAATAATAAATAGAGACGATTTGAT